TGCTATCTGATATGATTTGTGTTTTTCACTGACATAAAATGCTGGCAAAGATGTTCTTCCTTGTCTGTCCTTGTCTTCCAAGACCTTTACTCTTCCTATGGTTTGGAATCTGGAGAAGGGCGTTGGCTTGAACAGGCCACTTTCTGCTCTCGTCTTCTATACATTATCGCCTGCCCTCATGCAGTGCACAGGCCAGATTGCTTCCTAGTTAGTTGATTAAACATTCTCAATGTAAATAGACTCTGTTTAGGAGTAGGGGAAGATGAGTAAGAATTACCACCCATAAGGACTAAATACAGCATCTTCAAGCTCAGCCAAGTGCATTTCTTCCATCTTAGTTTTTATGTTGATTGTGTGTAATTTTTTTTTAAATTGCTGAATGAATTTTGTCATTGTCAGCTGGAAGACCCGAGGCAGTACAGAAACTGGCTTCTGCCCCTCATCCCCCCAATCTTGTAATAAACTGTAAATTAGAGCCCTGACACACTCACATGCTGCCAACCTGGCAGAGGAGAGCCTCCGTGCTTGTGCAGAGCTGGGGACTCTGGCTGGGCTGCCAGCTCTGGGGCTGAGGAGTTGGCCCAGCATCAGATGGGCAGGGGTCTGATCACTTACCTCTCCTGCTGAGAAATTATTTCATTAGTGACCTATTTTAACATTGATGGGTACATATAAGAAACAGGGAACTTGATGCTGAGGATAAGAATCTAGAACTGCCAGTTTCCCTGCAGAAGGGGTGAAGAATCTGAACTCAGCCACCTCGTCTGGCTTTCCCATGTTAACCCTCACTGCTCCCACTTCTGGATCACAGGGCTGAATGTCCAGAGGTAGAGTAGTATGGTTGACCACCAGCATCACCCACTGCCACTTAAACAATTTTCCCTGTGCCTTGAGGAGACCTTGCCTCATCCCTAAGAGTCAGCACCAGAGTACGTTGGGTGGCCCCTTTCTCGTTCACCAGTCATTCATTTAGGATGGAGTTTCTAGCTCTGTTGTTTGCTTTCTCAGTCTAACTATATAGTACTGCTCTGACTTTCAGAAGCAAAGGGAAGAAACCCAGCTGTGTGTTTATATCTGAATGAGGGCCCACACAGGGAATGGCAGAGAAACCTAGAGCCATACAACTCTACCTCCACTGCCATATCTACGCCCCCATTAGTAACAGCTACCTGCAATGTGACAAAGGTCATCGAAAACTTAAAACTAGGAAGGTGACAGTTACTATTGTCTGTAGTGTTTGTGCAAAAGTTTGTCTCCTTTGTCAGTTCAATCCAGTTGTCCCCATATTTTTTTGTCGTGTTCAGAGAGTTAACTAGTTAACCTCATCCTTACCTTTGAGATAACAGCTGGCACTTTAGAAAATGCTTCATATAACCTGCTTTAAAACACAACAGGCCACATGTTGACTTCACTGTAACACAGCCCAACCATGACTTCCTCAGCCTGTCCACAAAGTAGGTATTGAGGATAAAGAGAGGACATAAGCAATGAAACAGTTGGTTATACATTATAGATTATAAGAAATGAAAATACAGAGTGCATTTTAAATGATTAATGTATGAAAACTGTCACCACTTAACTGTGCATTAATCAAGAAAAAAATGCACTCTTCCCACAGAGGTTAATGTTGCAGGCCCATTGTTCAGCTTTGAGAATGTGCACAATAGATGCTCACTATGACAATGAATTGGGTAGCTGGAAATTCAGGATGGTTGCAAGTTCCGTGTAGTATTTGGATTAGCATCGTAATCTGTGCCTTGTCAGCCTCATCAGGAAACAAGCTACATATATATGTACTTTTTTTTTCTCCAAAACTAGCAAAAATATGGATGCATTTTTTTTAAAAAAAAGATTTTTCATTTTTTTTAAAAAAGAATAAATAATGACCAAGGTACCTGCTTAAACAAATACTACCAGCATTCATTAGTTAGGATGATTACATGTAAAAGAAATGATGCCAGATAGTAACAAATCCAAGAGAAGTTTATTATGAAAATGGCACCTGCGGATGAAAAAATTAAGTTACATAAAGACAACCATGTATGTGACATGTATGAGAATCTACAAAAGTATAAAAAGAACCCTGTTGTAAATGAAGTATGTACACTTCCGATTTGCAGCATTATCAATGGTCAATGAAAAAAAATGTTTCAAAATAAGCCAGGCACTCAGGAAGTTAAGTCCGGTTAGCTTCACACAAAACAAATGTAGCATAGCTGTCGCTTTGTAACGTTTTAATTATTTATATATATTTATATATATTGTAGAGTTGGTAACACTGCTAAGGGCGTGACGAACAGAATATCCCTTTCCCCATTATTCAGCTATGTGGCACCAGTCTCCTCATAAAAGTTTTCAGATATTTGTACAGGAAATAGTTAAAAACACAGACACAGTCTTCACAGGTAATGAAGTGTTTTTTTTTTTTTTTTCATTTTGTAATTTTAAACACTATGGATTTAGACAGCAGCTGTGATTATCTGTTAGTTTAAAATCACCAGAAATCATTTTGACACAACACAGAAACATTTATAAAAGAAAAAATCCCAGCTGTCTAGCTGTTCTTTGTAGCTGATAGGTGCATTCCCTTGATTGTTCGATAGCTAGAGTACGGCTTCCAAAACTAATCTTTAAATTTCTCCATCGGCTTTCTTCATCTTCTAAACTGACTTAAGTCCTTCAAGGAAGCTCAGTGCTAAGATTTGTGGCATTTAACTTCCTTCTGTTATTATTCCACCATGGCTTGGGCCCAACTCATGGAATCAAAAGTTCTAGAGGAATCCACTCAGCACGGTGATAATTCAAAGGACAGCCGAGTTACTATATTAGCATTGCACGAATAAACAAATATATATGACAATTCTATATTCCATTAACCCCTCCCATTTTGTTTTAAAAAAATGTTGGTTGGCCTTTGAAATCATTTTCTGTCTCACTGGTAATTGCTTTATATACTGCTCCATCAGCCAACCTGAAAGAAACCAAAGAAAAGCACCCACAGCTTTATAGGTAGAGCACAAGGGACTCTGGGAATGTTAACAACTGAGGCTATATGGCATCAATTTATTTAATATATCTGAGCATTATTCTTCAGGGCTCTGTGTAGCACTTCAGGAGAGTCACACCCAGAATTCCATTGTGGGAAAAATGGCTCCATTAACCTTGAGCTAGTTAAGAGTCTTTTTTATCTCTGAGAATGAAATAGGTTTGGGGTATCAGGGAAGAGAAGCAGAGGAGAGAAAGGGGTAGACCAGGAGGGAAAGACAGGGGAAGCAGGGAGAATATACAACAGCAAAACAACAGCAGGGATTTGGCAAAGGAAACAGGATTCACAGACAGTAGAAGCAGTATAGGTGACACCACAGAGAAAGGCCACCACGAAAAACCACTAACCCCCAAGAGTCACTGATTCACTAGGACTGCAGGAATGGGACTGTGCCACTCCACTAGAGACAGAGCACAGAGAAGACAGTGGACAAAACGACTACATTAGCTTAGCATATACTGCATATAGAAACACACACTGAAACTGCAATGGGACCCACAGCCAAGGACACTACACGTTGTACACATTACAGTTCTCACATCTGGTATTAGATGCCTTAACAAACAGCTGCCAAAAAACGAAGTGGGAGAAGAATCTATACTGGACAGTCATTTGGAGTGTTTGACACCACACTGATTTCTGGCAACAAAGACAAAATAGGCTATTTTTTTTCTTTTTTCTTTTTTTTTCTTTTTTTCATTGAATGTGCAGTTTTCAGTTGCAGTTATCTGTCTGAAGCTCATTAACCCATTTTTCAGTTTTAAAAACTTGTTGGTTTCAACTCAGAGATAAGAACCTAAGGGAAATAAATTCCATCAAATTAGCCCCCAATACAACCTATTTTTTTTTCTTAGCAAGAAACGAAAACAAAAAATCTCAAACAAACAAAAAACATGTTACATAGTTCTCCTTTCCCTTCTTTTACTCTGAAGTGTTACTGAAGTTGTAAAATCAGCCTCAGTTAGACTGAGTAAGGATTAAAAAAAAAAAAAAAAAGCTTAACAAAAGGCAGGATGTACTTTAACTGCTCCTCAAATCAGTCCGAGTTGTCCAAAAGCCCCCTTTTAATAGGGCTTTACTGACCCATTAAATTGAAAGTGAGGCTATGTTTGTTAGTTGGGAGGTAAATTTAAGTCCTGCAGCAAATGTTAATGAGGGCTTTGTCTTAACTAACCAAGGAGACTGTAGCAACGGGGCTCCGGACCAGGACAGGACACAGTTTCTTTTCCAAAACCCAGCCCGGGAGCTGTGTTTTGAATGAAGACATTACAGATTAATAAATGATAGCACCATGGTTTTAGAAATTAAGTTAATGTTTCAGTAATTACCACTTAGTCCAACTTTTTTTTAAAACATTCTAGTCACAGGCCAGAAATTAAGTTTAAGAACCCAAATTATTTTTATGTGCAAGTAAGAAAATCTTAAAATCTTAATCATAAAAAGAATTAAATTCTGCATAAAATTCTAAAATACTATTCCCCTATTTTCAAAGGAATTAGGGACAGGAAAACTAAAAACACCTACCCCATTTCATTTGACTTAGTCAAACAGGGCACAATCATTTATGCTTGTCTCTTTCCATCTTGATCATATCAAGATCTTTAGGAAGAAAAACCCAATGGTTGTCACTTGAGAAATCTCTTGACCACAAGACTGAGTATTCTATGGCAGAGGCATATACACACGAAGGACATCTTAGTAAAGATGCAAAGGAAAGCCAAACAACCCAACACACATCTTAGAAGACAAAATGGCAGGCAACCGGTCCTCTGACCCTCTGAAGGCAAAAAAATAAACATGTCTTTACAAGAAAGAATAAGTTCAATGAAAGAAAAGAGAGGGATGGAAGGGGGCCGCCGTGTTGCGAGAAGACGCTGACCTGCTCGAATTCAAAGTGCTAGAATGAAAGGTCTAAACAAAAAAATGCCTACGATGCCTCCGAGTGGGGCCCTGCTCAGTCCTCCTTGCGTTCCAGAGTCTGTGCCGCGTGGATGCCATTGCTGTAGACCGGGAAGGGCAGCGTGGAGAAGAGTCCCTCAGCCGTGGTGAACACATTGCCACCAGGCATCTGTGTGAGGCTGGCTGCGCTCACAGCGCCGCCAAATGGTCCTGACATGTTGAGCCGGTGCACGTGGTGGTACAGCATCTCCATGGGCGTCTTGGGGTCAAGAAGTTAACAGCATGCGCGTTGGGTAGCAGGTTGCCCTGCATGGCCAGGGTCACCTCAGCAGGTGCGTAGCGGATGGTGCCCGTGGTATAGACCCTCTGCGCGGCCGTGCTGGTGGCCGCCAGGGTCCCTGTCACCCGGTGCACAAGCGGAAGCACAACGTTGCCTGCTTGCAACCTCTGCAGGGCCTCCAGGTCCCCAGTGTACAGCAAGGAGTTGGATGCACCAGGGCCACCCCCGCCGCCCCCTGCCCCGCCCCCGGGGTGCTT